GCTCCACACAGAGATCTGATCTCATCATCATCCAGTCTGTCTGGAATGACATGAAGAAACAGAACAAACTGAGACAAGACTAAATCCAGAAGAACTGTGGCAACGTCTCCAAGATGCTTCAAGAAACCTACTGTACCTGCAAAGCTACAGTACTGTGAAAAGTTTTAGACAATTGTGTAAAAATGCTCTAAAATGAGGATGCTGTCAAAAAATAATGTCATAAATAGATTTTCTTTATGAATTAGGAAGACTCTATTACGTCATTCACAGTGCTTCATGGGAGGGAACGGGTAGTGAAGAAGCCTTTTATCATGATTTGCTTGATTTGATTCTCTGATTGGTGGAGATTTCTTTGCAGTATCATGGGTAATGTCGTTTTCCAGCAGGAATTCTGCTGTTGAACACAATTAAAAAAAAAAAGATTACAAAAATGTTTGTAATCAAGTTGAAATAATGTGGTCTGTCGACTTTAGCAAAAGCATATAGATTAATAACCTCATAGCCCATAGTAAGTCTGACATTAAAGGTTTTTAAGTTATCATTCTCCTGTTGAGAAAATGAATAGGATTTTTACTTCCCGACCCAACTGTTGTACTCTATAACCCCACAGCTTAAGTGACAAGCAGAAAAGGAAAGTAATTTCAAGAAGCTAGTTGTATTTTTGATGAAAGATTACAAAGACGTTTTTGTTATTTGTTATAATGTGCACAGATAAACCTTTCACAATAAAACCAGGACTCCACAAAATGTAAGAACATTTCCATTTATATTTATATTTATTATTGTTTTAAAATTACTTTTTTCTTATTAAATAGAATATTATGGTCTATATAATTATTTACAGTCATTCTGCAATCACTTACAATAGCTCGCCATAGTGAAAGTTCTTGCTCATTCAAAACACCCTTGATCAAGCATGTTTTACATAATTTAATGTTTGTTAAGAGTGATAATGAATTAAAATATAATTACAAGTATGATTATTCATATTTTTTTCCATATTTCTTTGTGTTGTATTATCATTTGCTGTAGTGAAACTAATATAGCAAGTTGCCAACTAGTGTGTAAGCATATAAGTGTACAAAACAATACTGGTGAAAAGTCCATTAATTAATACATTATTGTCCAGTTACACAGCACAAAAATCAGCAGGCTACGTGAATGTTTTTGAGCAAGATTATGGATTCCACCGAAGTAATAGAAGCCTTTAAGACAGAATCACACATGTTGATGTGAAGTAATCGGTGCTCTTCTCTCAGTGTTGTCACAGTGCAGTAATGTTTCTCCTGTGGATCTGTGTCGAATGATTTGTTGTTATGGTCGCTGCACTGTGAGGTTGATGTGCAGCTTGTGCAGCTCTTGTAAGAGTTGGGAGATTTCTTCAGCTGTTTCCTGTTTCTGTTTCACCATCTCCAAAAGTGTGTGGAGAGCACTGCTCTGCTGGACTGGAAGGTTAGCAACAGAAAACTCGTGTTATTTGATGAAACAACAATTCAACAGGCTCTCTAAATTAATGTTCTGGAATCAATATGTTCAAAAAGCTCTGTTGACGGCATCAGTGGAATAATGATGATTACCACAGAAAGTGGAAACAATAATTACAACAAAAACTGCAGTCAAAGTAAGGCGCAGAAATACATGTATTCCAGCTCCAAAAAGGGCAATTTAGACAACTTTTGTGACCGCATGCAAAGTTTCTCGGCACAACAGTTCTGCAAGGGAACACAAATGTTTTGCGACTTAACAACATTCTGTTGGGGGAATGCACCAACAACTGGGAACGTAATACTTTTCCATGAGAACACAAAAGCATTGAAATGTAATTTCCTCTCATCTGATTTTTTTTTATTTATCACCATATCCCCTTAGTGGCTCTGTATAGAGTAAATCAAGATTATGCTACAAAAGCTGTCAATGGACCTTGACTTGTATTGAAACCAAAACATTTCTTTTAGTTTAGCCTTAAAACATTAATTTCAGCTTTAACAAACAGATTTTCTCACCTAAAAAACTGAAGATAAGAATGAGAGTAAGGAGGAACGCAATAATGGCTGCACATGCTAAAAAACAGTGCCGCCTGGTGGAAGTGCATATGTCATTCAGTCTGCTCACACAGGGCCTTCTGACTGGTTGACCTGTTTGATAGACAACTCCTTGATCTTGCATCTGAAGATTCCCATTGGAGGTAGGTGGTGGTGGACGGGGTGGCTGAACACCTGACAGTGAGAGGTGGGTTTGAGTTGTATAGAAATTAGTAAGGATTTTAAAGTCATACATACACTCTGACATGATGAAATACCTTTGCTGTGCTGTTCAGAGTGTGTGCGGTGCAGGTCATTGATCGAGTCAACGGAATGGAGCTCAATCTCTGTCAGGTCTCGCTCGCTGACACGAACAAATGCTGGAGGAGGAGAAGGAGTGGACTTCATGATCACTCCCACCACTAACAAACAGACAGAATGAAAACCTGATTCAAAAATCAATGTTTACTCCCCCTCATGTAGTTTTATGTACGACTCTCTGTCTTTCATAGAACACAAAAGAAATTTTGCACTGCTCTCACTTTTCCATGCAATTACAATGAATGGAGACCAGAGCTTTTAAGCTTAAAAAAAGGATAGAAAAAAAAAACACCATGAAAGTGGTCCATACGGCTTCTGCACTATATTGCAAATCTTTTAAAGTCATATGATTACCTTAATGTGAGAAGCAGACTTAAATTTCAGTCACTGTAATTCCATGGGACAGAGCCAGGAAAACAATCTTTAGATTTTCACCTTTTGCATTTCCATTAAGAAAGAAAGTCCTACGGTAGATGGCATGAGGTGTTAATAAATGAAGGCAGTATTATACGTTTGAGTGAATTATTCCTCCTAACAAAAGCAAAAGACATCTATATATGTGAATAACTATTCCCATCCCCATTCATTAATGATTGGATGCTAAATCAAGGGCAAATCCATTACATTTTACAGTTAAAGCACATCTTTATTGATGTG